ATTCTTACAGAGAATGACTCTTAAACTGTTCTGGTAATCATTCACAAATCGTGAAGCTTCATCTCAATTCAAAATAAATAAAATTTTGAAAAATGCATAGCTTCAAACAATTTCATTTTCAGAACTCTGGAAGGATGATTAAAGTGGATGAATCAGCTTCAACGTAACATTATTACTTAGGGCTTCATAATTGCAGTATTCTGTAGAAAAAAAATATTGATACAACATGAGGTGTCTTTAGTCATTCATAACTAAACAGCCCCCTTCAATAAAAGAAGACTACAATGTTGACTGCTCTTTCCTGTTTTGACCTGAAAGATATTGTGCGAGTGCGAAAACGCGGTTACCTGTGCTTGTACGGGCTTATTTTATACTTCATTGTTTGCAAGCAAATATATGCTTGATTTGCGGCAGTGATTTCACTTCGTTTGATTAATTTCATTTAAAATTGTTATAATGAAGCACATGGATGTTTATAGCAGTATTCCTTTCCATTTTATTTTTGAGAACTGGACTTTTGTGTACACTTCAAATCGAAAGTTACATGCAGTGAAGAGAACCAAGACTCTTACCAGTTAGGGGTAAAAAAAAAAACGTATACAAGGACAATCTTGCATAGTAAAATAACACTTAATAAAGCTCCACAGAAGCTCACAGAAGATTCCAATAATAAAAACTAGAGGTACTGTGAGCACTGAGCTCACAAAATGATATCCCATCCTCACATGTAATGATGACAAAGTCCATGTTTTGCTATGGAAGACCAGAAATAAGCGTCCATCAAAAAGTAAAATAGGACGTGCACAATGGCACTATGTAATAAAGATTCTGTAAAAGTATTACTAAATTTTATTCAGTTGTATTGGAGGAGTTGCAGATAAGAGTGTGTACTCCTTACTAAAATATAAAGAATGACAGTGTTTATGTTTTGCTAGAAGGTTCACAGCGGCAATATGTAACAAGGATTCTCATTAAATTTCATTCAGTGGTATAAGAGGAGTTGCGGATAAGAGAAAGGACTATCCCAAATCGTAACGGAAGGACACCCCCATCACTATACAGACATTGCACAAACACCATATAAAACAAGAAACAGGCATAAAAATGTTAATCTTGTGTTTGTATCCGAGCAATATCAAATCGAAGAGTGGAATTCGCTCAGAAACGAAGGAGATAATCAGCACAACAAGAAAGTCATACAGACAGGGGAAGGAGGGCTCCTTATTTCTCATAAGGAATTTAACCCTGAGGAGTAGGACCCATACCCAAACTGCAGAGAATGGATTGTACTGGCATCATGTATCAATAGGCATGATAAAGTTTGTCCAGCATTTTTAGAAATCAACTTTCTCTACTCAGTCCCAAAAGAGTATGAAAAGTTTTATGATATAACGATCGAAAACGATGACTGGAGAAGATTCACAAGAGTCCATGTTCACCAACCTAAAGAAATATTTCCCATTATGAAATAAGACGATAGGCCTTTGATTTACACTTAAATTGATTACAGTATATTCCTTCCATCTTGATCAGTACATAGAATTCACGGAAGGCGTGACGGGTCGACGGCGGATGCTTATTTGCCACCGGCATCTGATCCCATCTGTGGTATTTCCGGGGTCCCATGCTTTATTCCCAGTTCACAAATTTATTTTGTTCGATCAATGTTCGTTATCTTCATCTTTTTCAAAAGGCTGGGAGATTACATCATAAAGGTACTAGCTACAATAAATATTTGATTTGGCGGGGTAGGTGCGTAAGTTATACATGAAGTAAGTATAGGTGCATACTATTTATCAGAGTTTTATGTTATTGGTCCACTGGTCGTATTTATATACCTTATCACTTTATAAGCTAAAAATAATATCACATGACGAAACATTCAACCATGGCACTCATACAAACAGCGCTGATTAGCAATGCAAAAAATTCAGCCTCCATTCCCGTGCTCGACTGAAATCGACTTTCAATTTTAAATTTCCATGCATCTTCGGAAAAGTATCATCATCAGCTATTGTATTGTCTGTTCTACAGAAACTGATTTCAGAATTCATCAGATTTACAAGACAACTAAGGAAAATACATATACTCTCTTCATTTTGGCCCATGTTTGTAGAGCAGGTGTGTATATATATTGTTGAACGTTTGGAATTTGTATCTTGTAATAGATGCAAGACTAAAATTAAGGACCAACTGGCACAAAATACCCAGCATTGTTAAACTGGTATCAAAGAATGAGGAACTAGTGATTGAAAACAAAGGCTAGAATATGAAGATCAGCCAATGTCTGCGCTTCTCGGTATAGTTTCCTTTCAAATGGTTTTTTTCCGACACAAATCCCAAGTTTAAGACCCATGTTGGACTGACAAAACTATCACATATGTTACACAACATTTCAATTAAAGAAGGCATGGAAAGGGAAAAAGAGAACAAAGTTGAGGGTTGTAATGGTAGGGATTAGGGAGCTTGTCAGATTATAAATGAACATTTAGAGGAGTCATACTGTATCATCATAAAACAGGTATCAAGCACCACTGATGGATGAAAAGAATGCCAATAAGCATTATTCAGCAGTGCTAGCCAAAGACGCATAAAAAGAGAAATTGACGAGACCTGACAACTGAGGTACTTAAATATGTAGTATCAACTTCTTCAGTAAGAAATATACATGCCTTTGAACACTATCAAGATTAACATCATTTAATACCAGGCACTAAGGAAGCATCTTTAATTCTTCTCTCAGAATGGAGTGAGGTAAGTGGATCCTACAAAAGAAGTGGAAACAGTTAAATATCAAGCAGAGCAGTTCTTAAATGGATACTTTAATGCCTTTGCCCGCGAGGCAATCTACACTTTAAACTCTGAAGTTTAATCGGGTTAGAGACAGAAAATGGAGAAAGAAAAGAACAGCCATATTTCGTCAATACTGTATATGTCACAGGGACTGTATTTGTCAAGGAAGGTTTTCAAATTTGAAGATCACTCTGTAATGGCGGTTATCTTTTCATTTACAAAGTTTGATGCCCCACAAACTCGTTTAAACGTAGATCTAGTCCCAACTGACCTTATATCAGAAAGAATTATTCTTATAGAGCATAGGAAGCTTTCTAACATTTTTCAAGAAAAATATTTTTTGTTTCCAACAAAATGTGGAAAATTGCCTTGTTCAGGTTTTTTGTTTGTTTGTTAACGTCCCTTTCGAGAATTTTTCACTCATATGGAGACGCAACAACTTAACGGTGGAGGGCTGCAAATTTTTTACCTTTACTCGGCACTCAGGGCCATTGAGCAGTGAGGGATCTTTTTCGTGCCAGCATCTACTGCAAACGAGACCTCGGTTTATACGGTCTCATCCGAAGGACCGGTCTCCACGTCCCGCAGTGGATTCTAACCCGTGACGTAAGGATCAACTCCTTACACCGCGAGACTCTAGAGCAAACCCTCTAACCACTGCGCCACGTGGGCGATTTAGTTCAGGTTGGCATAGCCTTAAAAAAGTTTCCATGTAACAAGAAATGGGGTGATTTCTTTTGGAAGATGCGGAGGCATATTTTTTTTTCATTTGGTCGTTCCGGATGTGAATAATATATCTTTTTACCAGAATATACATCATTAAGACGGAGATCAAGTGGAACAGGAACAATCACATTGGACAGAGAACACTCGGGCCGTCATGACATGATCGAGAGAAGACATTAAAGATAGCAAAAACAATATGAAGGAGGAAGTGACCTTACATTTAAAGAGTTTAAAGACGTTTTTACATTATAAAAACTTGAAGTTTTCAGTTTAATAAAAAATTCAAGATAAGCTAAATAATGTAGACGAAACTTTGAAAGCACTCAGAAAAAACATTATTTTTGTCTAGGTTACAATAGAGGATCAGGACTTGAAAACATCTGCTTTTCGAAAGCCTTATTATGGAACAGATTGAACCTCAATGCAAGAGAGAACAGATTGAACCTCAATGCAAAAGAGTGTGTGGACTGGAAGACACCGTGAAGGGGTTATAATCAAATTTGAAAGCAGGAAAACAGTTCTAGGAAATATATTTTTCTCTTCTATGGACTTTTTAAAGCCGACAATTTAAACACAACAGAAGTGGACGGATATATATAATTTGATGTTGTGTTCTACATGACCAGAAGGTTTCCAGTATTGCTCCTTCCTTGTTGTATATTAATTCATCTATACAAATGAAACAACGTTATAACCTTGTTCTATTAATAACCCTCACTAAAATTATATATATATATATATATATATATATATATATATATATATATATATATATATATATATAAAATAAGTTAAAAACCGCTGAGAGCTACGGAGTAATTCCTGCCGCTGTTGGCAGAAGTTAATGCATGGAATTTTCAGCCCCTGAGGGCTATATATTTTTCGTTATGCTGAGGGCAGAAGTAAATGCAAAATAAAAATTTTAAGCCGGTGAATGAAAAAGTTAATGCATAAAAATTTTAAGCCGCTGAGGGCTATACATTTTCTTGCGCTGAGGCTAGAAGTATGTGATTTTAAACCGCTGAGAGCTATACATTTTCCTGCCGCTGGGGGCAGAATTATAATGCAGGATATTAAAAGCAACCGATCCCGTCTTGTCGGATATCACACAAAATTTTATAAGCCGCTGAGGGCTGAAGTTGATGCTTGGAATAAAAAGCCGCTGGGGATTGTTTAATTTAAGTTAATGAATGAGATTTAGTACCAGTTTTTGTATTTAAGCCTCTAAGGGCTGTAATGTAATTTAAGTTTTTTTTTCTGCCGTTAGGGCAAGTTATGGAATAAAAATTTAAAGTTGACGACAGACCACAGGTCGTTACCGTATATTTTGAATAAGATATGGCTATCCGAGTAATGATGTGAAAGGCCGAATTGAAGTCTAAACATTTATAAACAAAATGCGTTATAATCAATATTTTACTCAAAAGTGTGCTTTTCACAAGCACATATGCGTTTTACTTGGTTTGCTGTATGGTAACGAGATGACAGAACAGAATCTGCAGACGTTCCTTTATCTAGTGATTCTGGTTTGGCCAAGCTGGTGGCCAAGAACTAGGAAACACCGTGAATTAAGGTATGCCGTTAACATGTACTGATAATTATTTAATGTAATTACAAACTAACATCCGCACCATGCGTTATTTTTACCAATTTATTCATTTAGGTGAAACTATAGGTTCATAAAAAAAAATTGCGCTGAAATGCAGATAACGATATTCACGGATTGTATTAAAATGAATAATTTTCACACCTTTTGTCCACAGGAGAGTGAGCCGGAAGAGCCACCAGCAAAGAAACTAAAGTCGGACCCGAGCCCCCAGAAAAGGCTTCAGAAACTTGAAAAAAAAAAGCCAAGGAAAAGAAGACCAAGGCTAGAGAATGTAAAAGAAAATGGTTGGGGGTTTACTTTGGATGAGCTCGCCAGATTTCCTTTTTGTCTGAATATTCTCGGGGGCAAGGCTTCCCGTAGTTTTTAAAGCACTGTCAAAAGCTATCAAAATAAAAACTTGAAACGAAATCTACCGAATGGGAAATCACTACTCAAGATCAATCCCCACTGATGAATCTATACGGGCAACCAAACTACATGGGGTATATACCACCACACTTTTATTTTGTACCTGGTACGCATGCAATGGGAGTCCATTTATGGGTATCGGCGATACCAGCGCGCTCCATTCAGGCAACACAGGACTGGCTGTCTTTTCTTTAAGGCAAACGATTATTACGTTCGTAAATGCACAAAAATGAAAGCAGCAAGAGGGAGTTCTCAATGACATTTCTTACAATGTGAATGAACTGATTTTAGTCGTTTAACCGGATCCTCAGTATTAATAATTTCCTTAGGTCACATGTGATATGTATGATTACTTTTCTTTCACTCTGAAAAAATGGATAAATTAAATAATTTACATGAAATGTGTTATTGGTGCTAATTATCTCGTACCTGATATCAAGGAACACTGAAACCCAAGTGAGTTTGATGGTTTCGGATCATGTTTTCCCATGTTATCCTAGTAGATTACCGTTCAGGGTAGCTAAGTCGGTAGAGCGCTCGCTCCGTGATCTGGAGGTCGTGAGTTCTAATCTAGGCCGCGACAGACCCAAGTCGATAAAAAATGGGTAGCAACTGTTCCTTCGCCATGCACTCGGCACTTTGAAGTGAAAGTTCCGGGTCCTTCGGATGAGACCTTAAAAACCGAGGGCTCGTGTTAAGGCAGCCGTTGGCACGATAAAGATCCCTCGCGGCTCAATGGCCCCGAGTGCCGAGTAAAGGTCAAAATTTGAACCCCTTCACCAGTATATGGAGACATCTCTATACGAGTGAAAAATTCTCGAATGGGACGTAAAACGACATACAATCAATCAACAATCAATCAATCCTAGTACAGGATGCTTAATCCAGAACAAGATTAATTTAAGGATAATGAATATCTCATTTTATAGGAATTTTAAATCTTACAATCTTGACTGGGAGAAAAGTGACGAACCCGGAGGAAATTGTTTTACATGAGAGAGAGCATCCTACCTGGACCGGGGGGGGGGGGACGGTTCCAAATCAACAATCCATGTAGATGGACAAGTATTTATTGCTTCCTTTAGCGACTTACTGTTTTTTGTTAACCAAAATCCTGATCGATTCGTCTTGGTAACATCAAGCCAAAGGAATGCCTCTGTGAAGAAATATGTAGTTTAGTTGAAGGTAAGAGTACAGGGGTAGGCACATCACTATTTTTGGAAGAGACACTCTTCCTCATCATTACTGAACTTAGTTCATCGGCTTAACATCTAGGAGCAGAGGACAAGATTTTCAAAGAATTGATGCATTTTTACCATATAATAATTAGAGCCCCGCCCTAACACCAGAATCCCTGACCAAGGGGCCATGAAATTAAAAATTTTGGAAGAGGCGCTCTTACTCGTCAAAACTATGTACTTAGGTCATCGACTTGATACCCAGGTGCAGAGAAGATTTTCAAAGAGCAAATGCATTTTCACTATATATTCATTAGAGCCCCGCCCTTACCAGAACCCCGTACCCAGGGGCCATGGAATTCATTTTTTAAAGACACGTACTCTTCCTCATAATAATTATGTACTTGGTTCATCGGCTTAATACCCAGCAGCAGAGTAAAAGATTTTCAAAGAGTAAATGCATTTTCCCTAAAAAATTCGCCCTTATACCAGAACCCCTGACCCAGGGACCATAAAATTCACATTTTTGGAAGAGACACTCTTCCTCACCATTACTATGTACATAAATTATCGGCTTAATACCCAGGAGCAGAGAAGATTTTCAAAGAATCAATGCATTTTCTCTATATATAATCATTGGAGCCCTGCCCCAAAACTAGAACCCCTGACCCCGGGGCCATGTAATTCACAATTATAGAAGAGGCACTCTTCCTCATCATTTCTATGATTTGGTTTGTTTGCATAATACCCAGGAGCAGAGAAGATTTTTAAAGAAATTTTCGTACTAATTGCTAGACCATTATTTACACACTGAATTGTCAATGGATTTTTCCGTTATTTCCCTATCATGACAAGGGGCACGCGGCGGGTGTGACCTGTCGGCAGGGGATGCTCACTCCTCCATGGCACCTGATCCCACCTCTAATGTTTTGGAGGTCCGTGTTTGTTCTGCTCCTATTTTGCATTGTTTAATGAACTTTTGAGCTTGAATACTGTTCGTTATCTTCATATATTTCATTTCACTATATATTCAACATAGCCCCGCCCTAGCACCAGAACCCCCTGATCCTGGGGTCATGAATTTCACAATTTTGGTAGAGGGCGCAATGCTTATTACAATCATTACAGGTGACCTTAAACCATAATAGGAAAAAAAATCGATTTCGAAACTAATGCATAAGATTCCGACGCAATGTATTTTGTTATATGAGGACAAATTTCTGATAAGGCCAAAGTATACAATTTCTGGCTCGCTTGAGGACAAAGGATACACCCAAAAATTCAAATTTAAGAAATCACTAAACCATAAAAAGAAATAATCTGTAGAGAGCGTCTTGTGCTAGTGAAGTTGACCTATAAAAAATGCGAGTAAGGAATAGGAGGACAAGTACCAGTCAATTGACCACGAAATATAATTGTACACAATCATATCTTTTGCGATAGATAAGACAAGTAGAAGGATTTACAATCTATGGTCAAACATCAATCCTGCTAGGGATTTTTTATTAGGAGACTCAGACTATTTTGTGCATCTCTTCTGCAATCTGTTCCTACATTTGTTTTACGTTAAAGGATTTAACCCTTTCTTTGTTCTTGGAATGGGTAAATCTTATGCACCTGACGAGAAACAGGACTGCCAGGAGTCACTTTTATTCAACTAATCTAGAATAAGAATTCTATTCGTACTCAACATGAATTTTTCATGATAATTTCATATTGGCATCGAGTAGTTGAAATGTTGTACATAGCCCTAGCTATGGATTGTGGCTTCAGCCAGCAAAATTTTATTGTTGGTTACAAGACTTTGAAATAATTATTGAATCCATTCACTGAAATTCATAGCGCTAGCTATGATATCTGGCGTTAGTCAGTTTATGAGAGTAAAAATAGTCTCTAATATGGTGTAAGTCAGATGGAAGATATTTTTGAAAATTTTAAAACTGGATAATAATTATAGACTGTATAGTGATATACTTGTGTTTGGGTGAGATATTTCTCATAGCATTAGCTGTGATATCAAGTATCTGCCATCTTAATATTTAGAATGACTTTACAGTATTAGCTGATTAGTCTGGCATTTGCCATTTAATATGGTGTGTCTTTTTAGGTCTTTTATTCAAATGCCCTATTACATTACAGCAAAACATGTCCCAACCAAAGAAAAGAAGACGAACGAATGAGGAGGAAGAGAAAAATAAGATGAAAAACCTAATGAAGGAAGTTCTGGCAGAGGCCCTTCCAGCAATCACTGAGACTATTATGGCGACTGTGAAGGAAACACTTAGGGTAACTGCAAATAAGGAGACGTCTCCTCAAGTGAGCCAGTCTAATATGGGTAGTACTACTGAAAGAAATTCCATGTCTGCAACATCATCTGCAATATCGTCTGCGACATCATCTGCAACATCATCTGCAACATCACAGGAAACACCTCAACCACAGACTACGCCAGTGCAGTTATCTACGGAAGGTAATAACAATAAGGGCACGGGACCACTTCACATTGGTCGTCCTTTGGGTCAGGGAATAGATATGGAAATTAAGCCAAAAATATGGGCAGAGGAGTTCATACAGTTAGGAACACTGGTTTTTAAACAACCTTATTCTAAGCTGGAGGCAGTTCAGGCAAGTGACAATAGCGTCACATTCCTCCAAAAGGAACACAAATACTATTTTAAATCATTACAACAGTGGACAGGAGCATTCCATATCTTTGTAGCCATTTACTGTGAAACGTTCCCCCAGCAGGCACCAAACCTCATGAAGTACATGGCTACAGTCCAAAAACTAAGTGCTGATGTTGGGGAGAGTGCTGCATTTTATTATGATGAGCAATTCCGGAAATGGAGGGCGGAAAACCTAGACCAGATGCCTTGGGAGAAAATAAACTCGGAACTTCATTCAGAAGCTTTGCAGATTGGATTGAAAACCAAAATGTTTCAAACAGAGGGAAAGGCGATTCCACAAAAGCAAAACCAACAGCAGCCCTTTCGTGCAAGAAACATCAGAAAGCCATGCTTTAGCTTCAATAACAATGCTGGACAGTGTACCAGATCCAACTGTGAATATGCACACATACGCAGCAAATGTTTCGGAGATCACAACAAAAAAGACTGTTGGATTTCAGACAACTACAAGAAACCCAATCAAAAAAGCACAAAACAAGCAAATGTCCAAACTACAACCAAGAAATAGCGTTGTGACTCCCATATGTGTAAAGACATTGGCAATTTGGCTCCAAGGTTTTGATCATAACAGAAGAAAATACCTCATAGATGGTTTCTCTCATGGCTTTAGAATTCCTTATCATGGACACAGAAAATTCAGATTTAGTGAAAATCTCAAATCTGCAAAGGAAAATATAGACATTCTTCAGCAAAAAATTGATGTAGAAGTTAAAAAGGGACGAGTAGCAGGTCCCTTTACATTTGAGAAATTGCCATTTGAAAATTTACAAGTTTCCCCCCTTGGATTAGTTCCTAAACAAACGCCAGGTGAATACAGAATAATACATCACCTTTCTTACCCTGACGGTTCTTCAATAAATCATGGCATTTGTAAAGAAGATTCAGCAGTTTCCTATCAAACAGTAGATGATGCTGTAAAACTTATTCAACATTTGCTCTACAAACAGTTTTAAGCTATTTGTCAGCAGTAGCACATTTCAACAAAATGGAAGGTTACGAAGACCCGACACAAGACTTTGCGGTTAAACGAGCCATCCAAGGCTTTCAAAAGCTTAAAGCAAAGCCAGATAGCAGACTTCCAATTACTCCATTGTTGCTTCAAGAAATTGTGAACTCTTTGCCGAATTGCACCCAATCACACTATCAGATGCACTTATTCAAAGCTATGTTCCTTTTAGCATTTCATGCTTTCCTAAGGATCAGTGAAATAACAGCCTCCTCTCTGGGTGATCCACTATCACTATCAACAGTATCATTTGGAAAACAACATGATGGTTCCCCCAATAGTTTGTGTATAACTATGGTCAACTGTCGCCCGCGTGGCGCAGTGGTTAGAGCGTCTGCTCTAGAGTCGCGGCGTAAGGAGTTGATCCTTACGTCGCGGGTTTGAATCCCACTGTGGGACGTGGAGACCGGTCCTTCGGGTGAGACCGTATAAACCGAGGTCCTGTGCTGGCACGAAAAAGTACCCTCACTGCTCAAAGTGCCGAGTATAGGACAAAATTTGCAGCTCTCCACCGGCAAGTGGTGGCGTCTCCATGTGAGTGAAAAATTCTCGAGAGGGACGTTAAACAACATACAAACAAAACTATGGTCAACTTCAAGCATCACATTGGAAAGTCACCAGTTACTTTGCAACTATTAGTGAACAAGGAAAACAAACAGTTATGTCCCGTTTTAGCTATATGGGAATATTTGAAATTGAGAGGACAAGATGCAGGTCCACTGTTTATGTTCCAAGATTAATCACCAATATCTAGGCAATATTTCAACCAACAATTAAAAATCTCATTAACCTTTCTGAACTATGACACAAAAAGGTATAAAGGACATTCTTTCCGAATTGGTGCAACAACTTAAGCAAAGTCGAAAGGAGTTTCTGATGACCAAATTCAACTTCTAGGACGTTGGAAATCTAATGCGTGTAAGAAATATATTCGAATTCCCTTATTGAATTTGTAAACAGGACATGGGGTCAGGGGCCTCTGTCTGCTAAAGTTAATTGTAGGTGTATGGACACTACCAAAGTTTTTTGCCTCTTATATAGGGTAAATTTAGCATGTGTTATAAAAATAGAAAATAATTACTGTATTAGTCTTCTGGCATGGGGTTTTGGACCTCTGTTGGAAAGGAATGTTAATAGCATGCAATAGAAATGAAGGATCAATAAAATTTCTAGTCATACAAGTGTCAATAATTAGATAGTACATGTAGTTTTTGTAAATAGCAGTTTTCTTTCATATACAGGTTAAATTCTAATGGTAGAAATCTGGTCATGTATTTGATTTTATTTCAATTTCTTGTCGTTGACATATGTCAGGTACATATGCTATACAATTGTATATCTCTCATTCATTTTGGGATGGGGGGGGGGTATTACTTTTCAAGTAATATTGTGGCAATTTTTGGTCCCCCACCTTTGATTTTCAAGAACATAACGTTGAATATATTATGTAATACTCTGTGTTCATGTTGGCATAATGATTTTTTACAATCAGATATGTTTTCGACTCGGATGTGACAATATATGTTTTTAATATACATCCGGGTCATGGTTTTGTTAGATAATTTTTGTAACTAGTTTTTTTTTGGTTTTCATATTACGTCATTTAATTAATAAATGACCATTTTCAATTCTAATCCATGTTTGAGTGATTTATGAAAATCAAACAGAGCCAAAATAAATGAGAGGATAGAGATTTGACAAAAAGTATTTTCTGATAATGGGACACATAAGAGGGTTAATAAATTAAAAGAACAGTAAAATTATAATGTAATTCAGATTATTTCGGAATACAGGGAATTATGCTATATGTGCAGAGAATGTTTCAATAATTAGACGGTTTAACGAGACACTATGAAGCGGAAAAATGAAATGAAGAAATTTATGTATTCACATAAACCAGGTTCTAATACTGCCAGCATTAACTGGAACTTTCAGTTAGCATTGCAGAGCACCTCCATAAGGAATTGACGCTGCCTTGGACATTCCTCCTCCCAACCCAAGCTCCATGCTTAACGCAAAGGGCCAGCAACCAGGTCAATGCAACAACTGTTGCCCTGAATAAGAAAGACATGGGTAAGAAAGACATGGGTGACAAACTGGTCAAGGTCATTAACCGGGTCAAAAGGTCAAGAATATTCAGAGGAATAGCAACGCCTAGATGGACGCTACAACTCTATAACCTTCAGAAGCACCAAAAAGCCAGACTACAAAACTTCGCAAGATTGCACGATTGTCTGTGAGACCAACACTTACAGGCAATACATAGTTGGTGAGGCAATGCAGTACAAACTTTGCTAGTAATGGTTGTGATGTTTATTGTCCGGATGATAATGAAGACTGCACACCTAATACTGAAATGTTTTCACTTCTCTCAGAGTACGAGATGGCCAAGTCAGTAAGCGACAGTCTGGAAGTCGATGGGTTGAAGGTGAAGCACGCCACAACATACGGTGATACCCTGTCAGCCAAAGGGATTCAAAGATGCCATGCGTACAATCCATCCACACTTGCAGGTCACACGACTGGCAGACCCGTGTTGCAGTGCCCACTTCAGCCCAGAAATGTTTCCCCGTAAGAAAAATTCAAGGTTAGACCACATGAGAAGTCTTTGCACATGATGTAAAGACCCGATGTAGCTTAGTGTACAAGAGACTAATCGAGACCTACACTTGATGTAAAGACCCGATGTAGCTTAGTGTACAAGAGACTAATCGAGACCTACACTGAAGACATCAACATCATCTGTAGTAAACCTCCTCTTGTGGTAGAAAGTACCAACCTCTGCTACTCTGGAGACTAGATGTCGTACGAATTCAGTGTTGTGTGACGGTGGAGAGACACAGCTGGTGGAAAGCGTCTTATTTCCAAGCCTCTCACAAACTGACAGCCCTGCACTTGAATGAAGACGACAAACACTCACTAAATGTCATTTTTGAGATGCGACTAAGCTAGAGTGTCAATGAGGAAATGAAACTCAATACCCTAACAAAAAATACTATAGTTAACTATAGTTTACTATAATTAACTATAGTTAACTATAGTGATAACTTTGACACTATGAAAACTTTAATTTAATATAGTGATAACTTTGACACTTTGGTTTAATGAAGTGATAACTTTGGCACTTTGGTTTACTAAAGTGATAACTATGAAAACTTTGATTTACTATGGTGAAAACTTTGATTTACCATAGTGATAACTATGACGCTATAGTGATAACTTTGACACTTTGATTTACTATAGTTAACTACAGTAAACTATAGTATTTTTGTTAGGTTACATCAACTCAGAAAGTAAAGGTCTCAACAAAGCAGTCAGCCAGGTTTTACCTAAGAACACTACCTATTGAAGAAATACTGAAGGAGTTCTCTCTTATGAGATTCGTGGACAAATTAAACAACAGTCCAAAGACAGCAACATCAATGAAAGCAGCCGAGGTTACATTGCCACGAGAAGGCCACACCCACCAGTACCTAAAGGGCAGGGACCATGAATACGCCTACCTCAACGAGTACAGGAAGAGTTTACTGTTTAAAGGCGATAAATGCAGAGAAGAGCTACGCAGATGAAACAACATTCTGCAAGGAAAGGAAAATCAAGACCAAGGTCACCTATGCCAATGGAAACTTGATCAAAATCCACCTGCCTGCAGTCCAATAAAAGCAATCCAGAGGATCACACCTACAACCAGACATGGGATGCCAAAAGAAAGACAAAACGGTCCTTTTTCAGGCCACAAAACAACAACAAAAGGACCCTTTTCAGGACCACCCCAATTATTCGAAAAGATACCTTGAATGCATCTGTTTAAGAAACGAATGAAATATATGGAGATAACGAACAGTATTCAAGCTCAAAAGTCCATTAAACAATACAAAATAGGAGCAGAGCAAACACGGACCTCTTAACATCAGAGGTGGGATCAGGTGCCATGGAGGAGTGAGCATCCCCTGCCGACCGGTCACACCCGCCGTGTGCTCATTGTCATGATCGGGAAATAACGGAAAAATCCGTCGACAATTCAGTGTGTAAATAATGGCTTAACAATTAGTATGAAAAACGTCAGTCAGCATTTGACTCAATGATAAATTGTATTTGCTGACAAGGCCATTGTATCGACCATAGAACTTACGAAATGATAACTTTAAACGAGACAGCTGATATTCTTGTTTCATCAACTTGTTCGTCAATAATTTACCTCGTTTTAGAAATTGTTCATACGTAGAGTATGCTCTTGCGTATCGAATCAACTGAGAGATATATACCCCGTATGCCGGTGATGAAGGTATATTGCTGCATAAGTAAGGGAAGTTGACGATTGAAAAGTTAAAGTCATCACGTTTATCATAAAGCTTGGTTGTTAGATTACCATTAACGTCTTTTCCAAGTAAAATATCCAAATATGAAACAGATGTGTCAGACTCTGTGGTATCTTTTATCTCAAGCTCACCAGGATATATCGTATCGACATAAGAATGAAAATAGCCATTGTTAATTGACAA